TTCCAACAGCTGCTGTAATCTCTCTTCTTGTTTATTTTGTTGTTCGAGCTGCCACTGTTGCAGTTTTTCTTGCAACAGCTGTTGTCTCTCTTCTTGTTTCTTTTCTTTTTCCTTTAACAACTTTTGTAATTTCTCTTCTCATTCTTCTTGTGTCTTTTCTTTTTCCTCTAATAAGTGTTGTAATTTCTCTTCTCGTTCTTCTTATTTCTTTTCTTGTTTTTGTATTGCTGCCATCAAATTTGCTAAGCTGTAGTTTGATTTGCCGCTTCTCGTTTCCATTTTTTTTTATCTCACTCTCTGACACCAATTTGTTACGTCTCTGTTCGTTAGTTAATTTTTCGTAAATTCTTTCAAACTTTAGCGACACAAGTCCTTTCTTAAATAAAACTGGTTTATTCTCTCCGAATACACATTTACGATACACTTAATTTCACCAGTCGCGCTGTAATTCGCAACGAACGTCTTACGTGCTCGAGTTCAATTACACACTCTCTGACTGTAGTTTAATTATTCACTACAGTGTTGTCCCGTCACGTTGTGACCGTCTTATATATATATATATACAAGACTAACACATATCCAGTAAATGCTAGGGCATTCTTAAAGGAACAGGATATTTCTAGAAAACGTGTGGCGTGATACGAGTCACGTGACCTCTCTGACGCAACACTATGTTATGATAACAAATCTACTGAAGTTAACTTTATACCAGGAGACATGGTATGGTTGTATAATCCCAAGAAGACCAAAGGGAAGTATCCTAAGTTGTTTTCTCCATGGGAAGGCCCATATGACATAGTGGATCGTCTCTCAGGCGTGACTTTCCAAATAAAATGTTGTAGGCGAGGTAAGCCAAAGGTGGCGCATGCCAACATGCTTTGGTGTTATCACGGTCCAGGACATTTCAGTTGGAACGAAGTGAACAACAGAACAAATGATGCTGCTGAAGACGTGTCACCTGAAACAACCACTGTTGAAGAAGAAACTCTACCCCGTTTTGAGTGGGAAAACAGTGAAGCCGTTAATGACGTTACTACCACTAATGTGACTGCTACCAATAATGGGAAATTTTCTGATGGAGCAGATGAATCCCACGTGAAGCAGAAACCAATGAGACGAAGACCAGTACGAAAGAAGAAATGTCCTGTAAAATTAAGAGATTTTGTTGTATTTTAATTTTGTGTTTGTAAATTCTGTACATTTAATCAAGTTATTATTAATTATCTATTGGTTTAATATAAGTGGCTATATAAGGAAGGGACAGTGTTATGATAGCGAAAGTTACGTGGCGCTGGTATCGTACCTGAAGTCCGAGTTTTGTTCGAGATGCCCTTATCTTTAGTATATAAGCCTGGCAGAGAAAGCCAACGGAAAATAATAAAGTGTGTTTTGTACTCGTCGAGAGCGAAATTATCAAGATAGTGAATCGCTGTGATTTATAGCGTGTATTATAAAAGTAGTTAAGTTTAAAGTGACGAAA